CTTTTTCATGTAGTGTTGCATCAACATCTTGGCCGATTTTTTCCGTTGGTTCTTGAAGTCAAAGTAAAAATGGCGGGAATTTCCTCTTCTTTTTCTTTTATTGGTGTTATTACTCTTGTTTTTTTTCTTTTCTTTTTTGAAGGAATTGCACTTCTTGGGAGTTTGTGATAATAGATATTCAAAGTCTGTGTTGAGAACTCCTTGGATGGAATTTATTTATTCATTTTTATCTACTACTGTCTTTATCGTTATTACTATATATTTTTTCTTTCTGCGATTCTGCTTACATCGAATATTTATTTTTCATGTTCTAATTTTCATGTATTTATTGTCCTGTTCTTACGGTTATTCAATTTCTTTCGCCTTTCTCTATTTTATTCTTCTTTCTTATTATTCAAATTATTTTCTCTTTTCTTGAAAAATAAAATTATCTGCAAGATCTTCAGTGCTGGGCGGGAAGCGGTTGAAAATTAACAATATTCTTTTGTTATGTTTGCGCCTTTCGTTATATCCGTTAGTTCGTTGTAGTCGGTTGAAAAGAAGGGATGATATATTGCTGGTGAATTATATATTCTAGAAATTGGCCGTTGTATCTCTCCTTTGAAATATTATTCACTAACGGTAATTTTTCTTCTTCTTCTACACTTTCCCGCGCTTTTCTTGTCACAACAAAGGGTAATGTAGTCTATTCTTCTCCTTAGCGATCAATACAACTTGGAAAAAATGCTATTATTCACCTGTCTTCTTCTTCTTCTTCTTCGTCAAGTATCCTAAGTCTGACAGCCGAGTTTTTCAAAAAAGAAGAAAAAAAGAAGAAAACAAGAACTCGTTCAAAAGTTGAGAGAATAAAAGAAAATGGCGGCCGATGCACACCGAGTGATAAACACACCGCAACGAAAACGATCTTCAGGGCAGAAGTTCTAACGACGAAAAGCACTTTATGAACGACCTACTTGAAGTTCAGCCGGACGCGTATCTCAAGAAGTGTTCAAAGTTTGTTCAAGCTTGGTGCGTTTCTCTTCCGCCACGCCAGCTGTAGATGTTTCATTGGATATTCCGATAATTCAGAGGAAGCGAAATCGCGTTGTATTTCTCAGCTGATGCATGTCCACAGAAAACGGAGTTTGTTTACGCGCAAATGAAGAAAACGGGAAATTTGTATTTGAGGGACGAATGAATAAATTTGTCGAGTTGCTAATTAGTGTTTTCTTTCTTCTCTCTTTCTATAGCGGTTTAAGCTGTGATGAAATACTTGTTGCCGGGAAAGAATATATGGAAAAATAAAGAGTGATTAAAGCACACAAAAATATGATAAGCAATACTTTGCATCGATTTTTTTTCTTTTCTTTTACAGATGATCAGTTATTTTCCATCATCTCCTTCGGACTTTTTATCCCCCTCTCCTTCCTTCCCGTCTTCCTCCTCCTCTTCCTCTGACGACGTCTCCTCCTCTTCCTCTTCTTCTCTTCTCTTCCTCCTTTCAGCTTCTTCCTGTTGGCGCTTTCGGTGCTTTCTTGTACTTAGGTGGAACATGGCGCCTGCAACGAAAGATGGAAAAGGTTAGAACATGGATCATGGCCTCTTTTTATTTGTTTATTTGTTTATTTGTTTATTATTTTGCTTAATTTAATTTTGGATTGCCGTCTACTGTTTGCTTTATTCTATTTTTTTCTCTCTCTCGATTTTCCTTTAACTTTCGTTTCTTCATTTCTGTCTGTTCGTCTGTCTGTCTGTCTGTCTCTGTCTGTCTCTTCTCTCTCTCTCTCTCTCTCTCTCTCTCTCTCTCTCTCTCTCTCTCTCTCTCTCTCTCTCTCTCTCTCTCTCTCTATATATATATATATATATATATATATATATATATATATATATATATATATATATATATATTATATATATATGTCCCTCCCTCCTTCCGTCTCTCTCTCTCTCTGTGTGTGTGTCTTTTCTCCATCTCCTTTTCTCCTATGCTTCTCCTATTCTCCTTTTCCCCCACCTTTTCTCTTCCCTCCCCCCTTATCTCTTTCTCCTTCCTCCCATCCCCTCTTCCTCCCTCTCCCCCTCCTCCTCTTTCTCTTTTTTCCTTTTCCCACTTTCCTTTCTCCTTCCTCCCCTTCCCTTCGTCTCTCTCTCCCTCTCCCCTTCTACTTCTCTCTTTCCTTTCCCCATCTCCCTTCTCCTCCTTCCTCTCCTCCTTCCCTCTTCTCTTCTCTTTCTTCTTCCTTCTTTCCTTTCTCTATCTCCCTTCCTCCTTCTTTCCTCCCCTTCCCTTCCCATCTCACTCCTTCCCTTCCTTTCCTTTCTTTCTCCTTCTACTTCCCTCTTTCCTTTCCCTCTCCCTCTCTTTTCTTTTCCCATCTCCTCCTTCCTCCTTCTTTCCTCCCCTTCTATTCCTCCTTCCTCCTTCCTCCTTCCTTCCCTTCCCCCCCTCTCTCTTCCTCTCTTTCTCTCGCCAGATTTTTTTTCCCCTCTTTTTTCCTTTTTTTTCAATTATCGCCCTTACGACCACCGCCGCCAAGGATGTCTCCTTTAGTTCCAACCAGTGACGTGAGAAGGATCTTAAAAGGAACCAAGGAGGGGGAGGGGGAAGGGGAGAGGGGGAGAGGGGGATGGGGGGAAGGGGAGAGGAGGAAGGGGAAGGGTGAAGGGGAGAAGGGAGGGGTGGATGGGGGAAGGGGGAGAGGGGGAGAGGAGGAAGGGGAGGAAGGAGGAGAGGGGGAAGGGGGAAAGGGGAAGGGGAGGGGGGGAAAGGGGGAAGGGGGGACAGGGGGAAGGGGAAGGGGGACAGGGAGAGGGGAAATGGAAGGGGGAGAGGAGGAAGGGGGAGAGGGACGGGGGAAGAAGGGGAGGGGAAGGGAGAGGGGAGGGAGGGGGAAAGGAGGAGGAAGGGGAGGGGGGAGAGGAGTGTATATACACGCTCACTTTCTCCATTGACTTTCTATTCCTTTTTTATCTCAGCCCCCCCCCCCCTCCTTCCTTCCCACTGTATCCTCAAATCCCTTTTTCCCTCCTACCCTCCTCCCCGTCAACCCCCACCTCCCCATCTCCCTCCACCTACCTCCTCCATCCCTCTCCCACCTGCATCCTCCTCCCCTTCCCTCCCTTACCTCCTCCCCCTACCTCCTCCCCTCCCCTCATTTTCCCCCTCTCCCCTCCTTTCCGTCCTCCCTTCCCTCCCCTCCCCTCCTTTCCCTATCCTCCTCCCCTCCCTCCCTTCCATCCCCCTCCCCTCCCCTCTTCTTCCCCCCTCTTCCCTCCTTCCCTCCTCCTCCCTCTCCCAACCCCCCACCCCCCCTCTCACCCCCCCCCCCCACCCCCCAGCACCGACTTCCTGATTACAACATGTTCGAGAAAAATATTTATTTGCGCGAAGTATCTGCCGAACCCCGGGAAGAGGGAGCGAAGGGCGGGGCGGAAACCGAATTAAATAAATGGAGTCGTTTTTCCATTTTCCGTTTTTTTTGTGTGTGGTGTTTTTTTATCTACTCGTGTTTTTTTCTTTTTTCTTTTCTTTCTTTGATCTACTTTTTTTGTTCTTTTTTTCTTTCTTTGTATCTACTCGTTTTTTTTCTTCTTTTCTCTCTATATCTACTTGTTTTTTTGTATTTATACAAAATGGAAAATAAATACATGTAAAAAAAAAAAAACGAATGGAAAGATAAAAACGTAATTCTAATAAATTAGATAAATTGTAAATTGTGTGTGTGCGTGTGTCTGTTGTGTTGCGTTATGGTCGTGCGTGTGCGTCGTGCGTGCGTATGTGTGTGCATGTGTGTGAGTATGAGTGCGTGTGCGTGAGTGCGTGTACGTGTACGTGTACGTGTGTGTGTGCGTGTGATCGTTTACTTATGCATGTGTGTGACAGCTTGTGCCTTTGGCCGCGTGAGAAATTCCTTTCATAAAGCATTCTTAATCTCAATATTCTTGAAATTGTTTTTCCAATAGCAATTTCTCTCTTGCTTTGTCTTCTTTGTGTTCGTTTTGAGTGTGTATGTATGTGTGTGTGTGTTTGTTTGTGTGTGTGTGTGTGTGTGTGTGTGTGTTGTGTGTGTGTGTGTGTGTTTGTGTGTGTGTGTGTGTTTGTGTGTTGTGTGTGTGTGTGTTTGTGTGTGTGTGTGTGTGTTTGTGTGTGTGTGTGTGTGTGTTTGTTGTGTGTGTTGTGTGTGTGTGTGTGTGTGTTGCTGTGTGTGTGTGTGTGTGTGTGTGTGTGTGTGTGTGTGTTGTGTGTGTGTGTGTGTGTGTGTGTTGTGTGTGTGTGTGTGTGTGTGTGTGTGTGTGTGTGTGTGTGTGTGTGTGTGTGTGTGTGTGTGTTGTGTGTGTGTGTGTTGTGTGAGAGGAGAGAGGAGAGGAGAGGGAGGGAGAGGAGAGGGAGAGGAGAGGAGGGAGAGGGAGAGGGAGAGGAGAGGAGAGGGAGAGGGAGAGGGAGGGGAGAGGGGAGAGGGAGAGGAGAGGGAGAGAGAGGAGAGAGAGAAAGGGAGAGGGAGAGGGAGAGGGAGAGGAGAAGGAGAGGGAGAGAGAGGGGAGAGAGAGATAAAGAGAGATAGATAGATAGATAGATAGATAGATAGATAGATAGAGAGAGAGAGAGAGAGGAGAGGAGAGAGAGAGAGAGAGAGAGAGAGAGAGAGAGTGAGAGAGAGAGAGAGAGAAAGTTTTTAATTCTTTTTATACTACTTTTCCTCTTTTTGTCTGTCTTTTCATTTATCTTTTTTTAGCGCTATCCTCTACATTCTCTATTTCTGTTGTCTCTGTCTGTTTGTCTGTTTGTCTGTCTGTCGCCTGTCTTTCTATCTGTCTGTCTCTGTCTGTCTGTCCGTCTGTCTGTCTGTCTGTCTGTCTGTCTGCCTGTCTTTCGTCTGTCTCTTGTTGCCCGCCTGTCTCTGTCTTTCTGTCTGCCTGTCATTCTTATGAGCTTCGAAACGCACTTATTAGAAATGGAGAAAAAAAATTGTATATTCTATTAGCGATTCATAAAAAAAAAGAAAAAAAAATATTGGAAAAACATATGTGAATAAATTACTTTGGTATATAAGTATATATTTGCATTTTCTTCTCATGTGAAGATTTTGGAGTCTTTGTTTCATCGTTAGTTTGTCTGTATTTGTTTACGTTGTTTATATTATTGTTTGTTTGTTGTTGGCTTTGAGTGTGTGTGTGTTCGTTTGTCGTGTATGTGTTTGGTGGAGAAGGAGAGGGAGAAAGAGGGAAGAAGGAAGGAAGGAGAGAGAGGGGAGGGGGAGGAAGGAAGGAGAGAGAGGAAGGGGAGGGAAGG